TATATATATATATATATATATATATATATATATATATATATATAAACCTTATAAATTTATGAAGCACACTGTACTTGATATGTAAAGATTGATCTTGGACCAAACCCCCATAAATGTTGACTTATACACTTTTTTTTGGGAGGAAGGAGGGGCATTTTAAAATGTGTACATTTTATACACTTGTTAAAATTATTTTATTATGGATGACCACTTACATGAATTCTTTAATAATTGGACTATGATGCTTTTGAATAGAATATTCAGAATTGAAATTTATAGAAAGAAGTAATCTAACACACATTAATAACATTTTGAAGGTGTAGTTACTCTTACTAAAATGCATTGCAAATGATTTTATAACAAAGAATTATGATGCCTGCCTAGAGAGCCTATCACCTTCTCTTCAAAACGGTAATTGAACTGCCTACAATCATTGAAACAACAAGTGAAAACAAACTTACAAATATAAAACATTTGTGTATGTCAAATACAATTAACAAATATAGGAAATGCAATGGGGTTGTAAGGATTTAAAAGTAATGATATTAATTCTTGAGTAATGAAGTGTATATAATAAAGCATTACCCACTTTTTACCTGTTAATCTTTGAACCTAAATTCTTCTACCTTAAACACTTCATTTACTAAATTTACACTTAATTAATGTATGTGAAAAACATAATGGTCAATTACTAATGCAAAAATGTGACAAGGTAATTGTTTCAGAAGTAATTAATAACTATTATTTAGTTACATTTTAGGTTTTCTTCACAATGAGTTCACAAAAGTAAGAGATTCTGTAGAATTATTTATAAGAGAAAAACAATAATCTTGTAGAATTATACGTCATTGCAAATGTAAAATAAACAAGTTATTACACTTATCACAATCATTTTGCATATAATTTACTACTTTGCTCTGTCATGTAACTGACTGTGAATGTCTTCCTCTTAATAAAAGTTACTTAAACCTCAAAATTGTGGTTTCTTATATTGATGATCATATTGTAATAACTCCCCACCTGTGGATTTATTGTAAACACAAACTTAAGAAAATCACGTGCAAGTCAAATTATTTAAAGAATTAAGAATTAATACTTCAGTAGTTGTTTCACAAAAATATGGCTTTTATTTTTTTTAATTTTACTGTAAAAATTATAAATGCTGCTTAATAATAACCATGCCCACCTTCAACAGATAGTAGATATTACATACACATGTATATAACAATTAGAGAGAGCTCATTTCACAGTATAAACTAACAATGGTTATTTTGAAATTGGCACCAAGTCTTTGTTACAGTGTACATGAAATTGACTATAGTATTGTAGGCCGCTTGATTGTTGTTTCTCACCTAAATATGTTATAGTTAGGGTTACAATTTAAACTGTATTTAGGTCTTACTATTATATTGTAGTTAATTATGTAGTAGTTATGTTTTAAAATGCATAAGTAAAAGGCTTTAACATTTTTTAAATATACATCATATTTCGCATCCATTCTCAAGGCTTATGATATTACATGATGGATGAAAATTTTGCCGAAGTGTTGCGCATGTCTCCCAAAGAAACTGTAATATGCCACGAGGGCACCGTTGACTTATGTTCAGATGAACAGTAAGTTGTAAAAGAAAGAAAGGAAAATAAACCATTAAAAATTAACAATATGTGAAAAGAAAAAGAGATGAAATTATGAATTTAACAAAAGGAAACTCTTTAAAGATATTCTACAAAAAATTAAAAGGCATGTATGTTTTTTTCTTTCTATTTCCTAATTTCAATTATTCTGTTGCATTGTACATTGATGATAATAGCTAGAGTTAGTGATATGGCAGAGAAAATGAAAAATAAAGAATAAACATTTACCTTAAAAAAACCTTCTGATATCTTTAAGGAGGTTCTAGAGATTATGCAAATGAAATCTAAAACTATAAGATGATGAAAAGTATTTTTATACTTAAAATGAAAACCACCTTGCACTCAATCTGTTAACAGGTTGAATGCAAGTAACTACAATAAAAAATAACACATTTTTTAGTAAAAACACTTAATTATAATATTGTCATTCTTTTTGTACAAAATACTTATGATCTTTAACAAAATCTTACCAGTTTTTGAGAAGATATGTTAAGATACCACATGTATTGTTGTACCAATGATATTCTTGACTCAATTGCTACAAATTGCATGAGCCTGCTGCAAAACATCGATGTTATCTCTCCTGTTTCTATATTCTCAGTCAACTCTGGTCTTCCCACAACTATAACCTGCTTTCATTATTCCTACACCGAGTTAAATCAGTGGCATCATTGCTTCCACATTCCAATCCCTGATATTCCAACATCATCAATCAACTCTTTTATTCCTATAACCAAAACCTTTACTGGTTCTAAGATTTATCTATAATGTGCTATGAAAAGAGAGTAACCTCTAGTATTCTTGATATACCATCTCAGTCTCTGGTTATATAAGAGCTAAGCCTACTTTTGTTGTTACTAGTGTTGCTGCTACCATATGCTAACCTAAGTTATTCTTCAACTTAACTTCTTAAACCCAAGAGGACACTGCTGGCATCCAGCTGAAAATCCCGATTTACCTACTGGATAACATGTATATATCTTTGGCTGAAAACTAATCCAAACCATGTTGTTACCCACCTTTTATGAATGAACCAGAAGTTTTATAAGGTGTGGCAATAATTATTAGGACATCACGAAAATAATTCCAGCAGAAAACACAAAAACTTATTGGTTTAAAGAGTTAATCAATATCCTAAAAATTAAAGGGACATGAAAAAGTTGGTAATTTTAAGCTTAAACACACAGACTTGAATGTATATTCCTTACTTTTATTTTAGAATAATTTCTGTTAAGGATGATTGACTACACTTAATAATATGCTGAATTATTAAATATTTTATTTTATAAACACAACTATTTAATTTTTCTGGGTAATGACATAAACTAGGGCAAGTTTTATGGGTTAACATAAACATACCTATATTATCTATTAAGACATTTTATTCAGTCTTGTGTAACAAAATTTTAAATCTTTACATCTGTATTCTGTTTCTTTTAAACACACTTACATACTGTTTTTAGACTGTAATTCTTTAAATGTTTCCATTAAACCTACACAAGTCATAGATCAAAGATCTTTTCAGAATGCTTTATAGCTTTTACTTTTGTAATACATGATTGTATACTACCTGTTTGGGGCTTCAGTTCTATCAAGGCAGCATTGCCATGAGTTGACAAGACCTTATAATGAGTTACAGCTTGGCGAGCTTTCTCTGAGAATGATGTCAGTGATCTATACTCATCTGGTAAATGAGGACTTAAAACCATCTAGTGGAAAAACAGATATTTATATATATATTGTCACAAACACACACACACACACACACACAAAAGGTTAAATTACATAAACCACTGACAGATATAACAGCTTATTAAAAAGTATACAAAATTATGTCCTTAAATTTTAACTGTTAGGCATACAACTAGAAACATAAAAAGTTTAAACAAAGAAACTCACTCTTCGTTTATTTTCCACTGATCCTTCTTTGATAGGGATGTCAATCACTCCTATTGATATACAAAAACATTTCAAAAAGAAATATTTTCCTTTTGAGAAAGACAGAGTAACATTTATAGCATATCATAATCACTTACTTGAATTTTACCAGTACTTTTTGAGGATAATCCTTTAACTAATGTGGGAATTTTAGAACTTTTATTTGATGTTTTCATAAATATAGCAGGTCTTAATTCAAGCATAATAACCAAGATGAAATGTTTTCAGGTATACTTTATTCACAAAATATGACAGGTGACCAGAAAACATTTAACATATATACTCAGGTCTCTCAACAAAATAAACTATTCACATAATATGCTTCAACTAATTTATACATAATTATGTCCTAATAAGCTTAAAATAAGATTTTTGAGTGTGATAAAACTGTAATGATATTTGAAACTTTTAATTTGAAGCAAACAAAGTTTCATTATCATGTGGGTTGTTTTAGAATGAATATTCAATGTGACAAAGTATCAAGTAACCAGATTGTAGCCATAAAATATAACACTCTTTGTAACTCTTTGATATTTTTAAATTAATTATACTATACACAAGTATCACAATAGCAAAAGTTTTATGTTATGAAAACAAAAATGTCATGACATTTCTTTTATTATAAAGATCACACATTGTTCAAAAATCTTACAATGCATCTACTTTTACTTTGGAATGTCAATTAATTTATCATTTTTCACCTGAAATATAGTACAATTATCAGACATGTACATTTATTTGGTTGAGTTAGTATTTTTAGACACAAACTGTATATACTATGATGATTTACACACCTATGAAGTTTCACAAACTAGCTTTCCTGCATTACTACCTCTGCCAAAATAAAACATTATGATAACCAGAGAAAGACAGTGTTATACAGAGTTTGAGTATGTTATATAAAAATAAGTTTTAAGTAACACTATGTTGTTACACTACAAGTAAAACATTTGGTCATGCTCTAACTTATGACTGTGTATTTTGAAAGTAGCCCTGCAAAACTGTCATGTCCAAAGCAAACCATCCCTTCCTGCAACATTCCATAATCAATAATACATGAGGAAAATGGTTCCCAGTGCCTATTTGAACAGTCCAATCACAAGAAATAAATATGTGCGGTAACCTGGCAACATGACTGGTATATGTTGATATGGAATAATATGAATACTCATTTCATTCTCTAGCTGCTTAAGGAAAATGATAGTTGAATGGAGGGAATAACTAGAAACCTTATCTTGGTAAACCATACTCTGTTGGCTTTATTAATAGTCAGAGATTAATAGTCAGAGACTTTTCTTGATAAACTTGAGCTAATACTTGGAACATGTGAATGGCTTTTGTCATTGAACTTTAAGTTTAGGGATTTTCACCTGCTACATGATGCTACACTTTGCTTATCATGGTTAGAGTGCAACTTGTTGCAAGTCTCTTTCTGGATGGTCCTGGTACTCCAAGTTGCTCCATATTTCTTTGTTTTTTAAAGACATTAATTATATCCCTTCTATGAAATTCTAAATCCCAGATTTGAACACATCTTTATGATCTGAGTGTATGAATATTTTGCATTGGAGAGCATTACTTTAAAAATTATATCCAAACGTGATAAATTTTGGTAGCATTGACAATCTAAAAATGGCAAGCAATGTCAAAATGTAATTTTGATACATTCTATTCCAACAGGACTTTATATAAGATATGGTTTTGATGTGACTTACTGATTTTTATATTCAAAATTGTTTTAATAGAAGGTACTCAGTTCTCTGTATATACTATAGAAAACATAACTTCCGATACAATATCTTACCTCCATTGCCATAACAGCTAGAATCCCACAATGAACTGGTGGAGGGTCCAGTGCAAAATTTACCTAGATGAGCACCCTTTGGAAAGCATCTGAAGAAAGCCCATGGAATGTGAAACCTCAGCATAGAGGGACATACCCATGGGAGACCATTCCACATCTGTACCAGATATACAGATGCTAAGTTGAGCAGAAATGATGCATATCCATTGCATAATTGGATGCTCTAAATGTTGTTGGGTGGCTGGAGTATGTTAGAACATATTCGGTGGATGAACTCCAGTCTAAAACCAGGCAGTGCGAGGTATCTATTGTCCAGTCTACAGTAGGAGGAGGGTTCCTATCGTTTTCACCTCAAGAAAAGGAAGCAGAAGGGAAAACAGCTTCCGTTCCACCATCATAGTTAAGGCACATGTGTGCAGACCCAGTTCACAACTAATACCAGGCCACCTGAGAACCTGACATCCAGGAGATGGTAGAAAGGGGAAATGCAACATGGTGGGTAAACGTCAGTCCAAAACCTGGAGGCATTGGGAATTTATTGCCCAGTCTGTGGTAAAAGGAGGGACCAAACAGCCACATATGTGTGGACTTATGTTGGCTGATCCTGCTCTAATCCAACACCAGGCCACCCAGGAACTGACATCCAGGTGGCAGTAGGATGAGGAAGCCCAGCCAGAGGGTTGAACTGTATGTGGTGTATCATCTCCAGCACAAACCAGGAAACTTTGGGAATCTTTCATCTGTTTCATGGTAGAACAAAGGTTCACACCATCTACATTGACAGAACACCATCACCTTACTCTCAACTAGATGGAACTGAGCACATCCAGGAGGATGTCTCTAAGGTCCACCACTCCAGTGGCTAGGAGATGGTAAGTGGCAAGGACTCCTATACTCCACTTCAAGTGGAGAGTTCAGAGTAATGTATGGCTGGAGAAAATGCAATGGGTAACCACAAAACCTATTTTTAAAAGCAAACCAGTCCTGATTTATTCAACCAGGATCAGAGGAATGGGAAGCTATCCCGATACTGCTTTACTCATCATAGTCCACGAGTTGGTACGGTCTGGAACTGGCTTTAGTTATGAAGCAAAACACCACAAGGAAACCTCTAGCAGTCTTGTGAAACACCCCATCTAAACAGTGTATGTTATAGACCTTAATGGCCATACCGTGCATATTTATGGATTAGTATACCTGGACAAGCACCACTTGCCACAGAGCAGGATTCAGTAGGTAAAATGCACCACTGTAATGGAAAGTAACATAAAAAACTGATACTCACAGTTGAACTGAGGTGTGCAGAATGACAATGGGCAGTATTTGGTATCTTGAAGAGGAGGAGGAGAGATGGCCACATGATGAAAATAATTAGTGATGATAGTGTGTGTTTTGGTTCATGTGCCAGCCTGGATGATCTCCTCCAATGAGCAACAGAAGTGGCAGCAATGGAAAGGGTGAGATGATGGTCTCTGGTGAAAGGATACCTGGAAAATACGATGGGAACTGGGAGACAAGGAAGAATAAGCCAACCAAATAACTTGCCAAATCCAACCTATAAGGGTGACAGGGGAAATTTCTCAGTTAGAGGATGTGTTCAAAGGGAGAAACAGGCAGGAATGGGACAAAATGGAAGGAAGCAGTGCAGGCAATTTAACACTTGAGAGCACAAACAGGACAGAGATGAACCAGACCAGAGAGGGAATAGAAATGGGAAATGTAAGGGAGGGAAATAGGTGTGAATGTGATCTCACCTTCATGAGTTTCTGACATTTTTGGAAAACAAAGTGATGCACATAAAGGAGAACATAGGTGCAGTGGTAAAAGACAGATGAAATGTTGAGGACAAAAATATCTGAGAACCACTCTGTGGGGAGAATCTTGTTGGGATAAGACAAGCAATCCATAACAATAATCATACCACCCGAGACATGACATGCCAGTCGGTGTATGTGATACGAATGGATCTAGAAGAGGATTTCAAAAACAAAGCAAACATGAATGGGTGCCCCTCTTCGATTGATATAAGAGACAATGGTCAAATTGACAGAATATATTATGACCAATTTTCCTTTTATCAAAGGTAGAAACAACAGCTCAACAAATGGCAAGTAGCTCCGGAAGAGTGATGTGCTGAGCCAATTCAAGACAAAGGACCTGCTGCCTCCAGGGGATCCATACATGCCTCCCAAATTATGAGAGAAGCATTTGTAAAAGGATGCAACTCAGGACGGGGAGGTGGAAGAGGAACCCCAATCATGGTGTTGTCCCTGCTGAGCCACCAGGATAAATCAACATGTAGTGAGGGAGGTAGAAAAATAACAGAGTCTAGAGGACACTGAGCAAGATTCCATTGATCATGCAACATTCATTGAAAAGTACACACATGAGCAAGACCCAAATGGATGAGGTATGAGGTTGGGATGAGTAAGGACTTCTCCAACATGACAACCAACCCAAACGAGCAGCCTCTCAGAGAAGTAAATGTATGTGAGTGAGATGTTTATTGGGATGGAGCTAAAAGCAGCCAGTCATCCATATAATGGTGAAACTGCAGACCATGAAAATGAAGAAGACAGGCAAAGGCCCTGACCACTCAACAGAATATGTAGGGTGAGGAAGCCAAACCAAATGTAAGAACACAGAATTGATACACTCAACCGCCGTGGACAAAACAAAGATAACGTCTGGAAGTCGAGGAAATAGGGAGTATTTAAAATGACTATCTTTGTCATCCAAAGACCCAGAGTAAACACCCACCAAAGAATGAGGAAAGACTCCACAGTGAAATTAGGAAGGTTGATGAAACTGTTGAGATCTATGAGAGGATGACAGTCACCTGTGTTCTTGGGAACTCTCAACAACTGAGAATAGAACCCCCAGAGAAGAGTGACTGATGGGAGCCCTTGTGAAGAAGATCTCGAACTGCTTTGGCTAGATGCTGAGAGGAAAGTAGATCATGAGGAGGAGGGAAGGGAATGGAATGTGGGGATAATGGAGGTAGGGTAAAAAAAAAAAGGTAGAATTTTTTGAATAATACCTGAAACACCCAAGGATCCATTTTGAAATGGTCCCATAGGTTAACAAACCTGGCCAAATGTGACCTAACTGTGCTAGAACTGATGGTATAGTCACTGGTACCATTGATGGCGTGAGGCCTTGTGATGAGCAATCTGACAGCTTGCCACCAAGAGAGAGAGAGGGACAAGCAAAAGGGAGGAGGGAGGAGAACAAGATATAGGAACCATAGCAGGCGAAGGCTGCAAAAGATGAGAGACCAAGGATGAAAAGGAGGAGTGTTCATGAGCACCCTCCATACTGGGCTCCAATGAGTCAGAAAAATCTCCAAAGACAGACTGGCATAAATATGGAGCCATACAAAGATCACACAAATATAGTGGGCAGGTGCATCCAAACTAAAAGCACATCCCTACAACAGAGGAGCCAAGTTTGTAGAGAAAGGGCAGAAAAAGACAAGCATGCCAGCATGGAAAACTGGCACAAGCAAATATCGAAAAACTCCTTGGAGGAATGATGGATAGCCTGAAATAGGAGATGGATAGAGGAGAAGTAATGCAAGAGGGTGAAACAAATATGTGAAAATTGGGCCTGGGAAAATCTCACATTAGTATCAGGGTCAGATCCCCATACCTGGATCAAAGACTAAATTCTGTGAGTATAGAGAAGGAAATTCCAAATGATGATATGCTAATGTGTAGGAATCAGAGGCACAAGTACGATGAGGCATGCCAATCCCAGAATGTGATTGTGCTGTAAGTTGATCAGCATGGACCCTGACATTTGGAGAGGGTGGGAAAAACAAGGTAATTCAAGGAAGGTGTGGCATTTAGGAGGGAAGGAGAGGAATCATAAGACACAGAGGATACAAACAAAAGGTAACATACCTGGGACACCATAAGAGTTAAGAGTTAATTTTCTTAGTTTAAAGCAAATGACTGTAGCAGTTCCAGTTTATTCGACTACAGAGTCTTTTTACTAGTGTTTGGTCCAATAAAAACCCTGGTTGTACCAGAGGCATGTAAACTCATGTACTACTAATAAGGTATTCAATGTACATTGTTAGTCTTTAAAATTGACAAGCCCTTTTAACCTAGATTCAGTATTAAAGACACATTTTAATTGAAACAGTAGATATAGCTGCTTGATCATTTTCTTCTTAATCATGTATGAAATAGTGCCTAAGTGCAGTGCAAGTAAAGCAACAGTTTTCTTTTAAACATCTAACATAACAAAACATGGGATATTTAGTTTTTGTGTGGATTACTCTATTTAGAAATAACAACAGAAAATTTATTCTAAGCATTTGTCTAATGTTTTCAACTTCTGCTTCAAAAATGCTTTGAAAGTTTAACAAAATTGTAAGAAAACTGTAATCATTAAACCAGTTAAGGGTAATAGAATTGTGATTTTAAATAAAGTGGATTGCAAAAACAAAGTGGAAGCTATTCTAAGTAACAGAGATAAGCCAAACTTATGAGATATCTTTTAAAGTGAAAAAGATAGTGCCATAAAGGAAGACTTGTACCAAAAAATCAGACCAATGGTTTCACAGTGTGGGGTTTTATATAAACTTCCTACGGTTCACAAACAGGGAAGTCCAAACAGATGGCCAAAATCAATGATTGGCAAGATCTTTAACTCTGTGTTTGAAAGTTTGCACAGAATGAATATTTTGTTAAGGATACTTTTGAATTTTTCAATAGCTTAAAAGAGACACAGTTTAATGCTGATTTTCATTGTGCTAGTTATGATTTAAATCAATGTTTACAAATATACCTCTAAACAAAAACATTAATCTTTGTTTTAACCCTGTGTCTGCTGAGAATGAGATTGTATAGGATATAACACTTAAAACACTTTCACATGTTGTGCCAAAACAATTTCATTTTATGTTTAATGGGAAAATCTACAAATAGCTCTATGGAGTGGCTATGTGCTCCAGCATTGATCCTGACCCTCCTAGTCTCTTTCTGTGCTTCCATCAAAACGTTTGGTTACAGTCCTGTCCTAAATATATATTACAAAAGATATGATGATGACACTTTTGATGTGTTTTACAGTATTGTGTTGATTAACAAATTTCTCCAATTTTAAAATGGTAAATGTACTAATGTAAAGGTTAGAGATGAAAATCAACAGGATGACAAATTCTTGTTCTTAAATGTTCATGTCTTAACTAACCATGGTATACTTATCACTGTAGTGTATCATAAACTCACTTTCACTGGACTTTATTCACATTTTGAAAGTTTCTTTCTTTCAATCTTTAAATAAAACTTGGTTATAACCATGATATACAGAGCATTTAAAATATTAGGAAGTGAAAACTTTTTTGAAGCTTAGAGAATGTTACACAAATGCTAAAAGCAATTGTTTTCCATTGTCATTCCTAAATAGAATAATCCACACAAAAACTAAATACCCCATTTGTTATGTTATATCTACCTAAGAGAACTGTTACTTTAGTTATACCCTACTTGGGCACTACTTCATACATGATTGAGAACAAAATTAAGAAAATTATGAAACAGTTATGTAAACAAGTTTGGTTAAATGCATTTTTAAAACAAAAACTAAGTTAAAAAGGCTCTTCAATTTTAAAGACAAACAGCATTCATTGAATATCTCGCTGGTGGTATATGAGCTCATATGTCAGAGGTGCAACCAGGGATAAATTGGATCAACCACAAAAAGACTGTGCAGTTGAATAAAAGGACATTGTAACACTAAATCCTACAAAACCATTTGGATTACCAACCATTGTCTAATCTAATTTGATGATGCATTTACCTCCAGTTTTCCAGGTAATCAATCCTCCATTTCTGAGAATAATTCCAACTTAAGAGTGCTAAAAACTCTTGTCATCAATCTAAGAAAACCATTTCTAAATCAGAAGATGAACACACTGCCACTACATCTTCAATTGTGAAAATGTAAAGAAAGAACAAAACATGTACTTCAAACATGGAATATGAACTGGATTAAAAACTTATGAATGATAAGATAATTCATGAATACATAGCACCAAAAAGTGGTATACAAAGAAAAATGGAGAAGTACTGATGATGGAGTTTAAAAAATCACCAAAAGATAATGTTACTCTGTATGAATTAATATAACAAACTTCAGACCACCTATTACTTACCAGCTATTAACTTAATATTCTATTGTTTCATACATTTACTTTACTCTTACCTTCCATTACACTGGGAACACCCTTAGTCAATGCCCAATAAACTTTGGTGATTTTGTGATCATGGAATAGTTTCTTCAAATGATTAGCCATTTGTTGAGTTCTGTACACAATAAAGAAAAATGAAAAAAAAAAAACAATGAAAAAAAATTTATGCTTAAGATAAAAGGCATATACTACACTGTTAACTCACATAACTTAGCATCAACTCTCTACTGATATGTCAACCATCCATTAGCCACAGAAGAACTAAACATAGTAATCTTCCTATGAAAACCATGATACAAGTAATCTAAAATCAACTGAAATAATAAATAAATCTCAATATTATATGAAAACAAGAATTTTGGAAAGCTCACTAATTCAAAAATTGCCAAACTTTAACACCCCTGTAGGTCATTTTAAGTTGCAACCCCTTTATCTGTTCTTGTGACCTGAAGCAACTTGGAATTTCCACCACACAATAAGTTCTTTATATGTACTTCTTTCATATATATAAAAGTTGAACTGAAGAGGACACATGAAAATGTTGAAACTTGTTTTCCACAACAATGGATCTTAACTTCAATTTAGATTACACAGTATAGTGTATTTACCCACTATTAGAATGGTGTCCATGAAAAAACCAGAAATATAGTAAATGTTTTCAAGAACCATCAGAAAATTTGTCTTCTTTAGAAAAAATTCAGAAACACAGCCTTGCATTTCAGAACAAAATTAATTACAGCAACAATTTCTGATAAAATGTTTGAAAAAATAGGATAGTCCATAAGGTCATATTACCAAATCTATAAAAAATGAATTAAGAACTACTATTTGGTAACCTGGAAAAAATCAATGTGGATTAAACTTTCATATTTTCCTTACCTGAAAAAAAAACAAAAAACATTTCAAATAGTGACTTACCTCTCTTTACAACAAAGATATTATCATTCACCATTGCCTTGATGATTTCTGCACATACCTCAAGCTCTTTGAATAAAGCTCCCACTCCTACATGTATTAACATGTATTGTGCCAGTCTATTATGTAATCATCATTAGAATATAGCCCTCCATCAACAGGAGGGCAACACATCCTCCATGTGCAGTAATCCTCATAAGCACTAGCATTTGAACAAAAGTTCATTCTTAATGAAGCAAATAAATACAACAGAAACAGGAAAAAAGGGTGGGAGGTTGTGCAGAGGTGAATTACTATCTGAAATACACTTTCAGGTAAGGAAAATGTTAACTTCAGAAAGGTTTCTTCATCTCTCTGTATAACAGATCTAGAATTCCACAGAGAGAAGATGGTGGTGGAAGGACCTGTGTAGATAAACAAGGTAGCATCAGAAAGGGAAAACTCATGAAGCATGACACCCATTATAGTGGAGGTAGCCTAGTCGGGCATCACAAAGTCAGGGAGTGCATTCATCTCAAGTAGGGAATATTCTTAGTCCATTAGAGATGGTAAAGCAACATATATTGTAGGTAGGCAGAACGCAAGATTGTTCAATAAGCCACTAGAGATGGGTTATTAGTGGTATTTGCTAATTGATTAATCAACATGCTCATTATTTGATTATTACACCATGCTACCCTACAACCTGTACAAGCAAGAACAAAACAAACAGGTATGTGCTTACCCTCTTATCTTTTTCTACCACTGCATTATTCTAGGTAGCAATTTTCCTATTTTCTTTACATTGTTTTGGTTTCTTTTTTTAAATTAATTTTAGAATTACCCTTGATTTCATATGATAGACAACTTCTGAAGATCATCATTTGCACATCTGGAAAAAACATTTTTTGTCAAAAAAATAAATAAATTTTCTACAAGTTTTATGGGCATTTCCTACTTGGCAGATGAATCACTAATACCAGTTTATTACCATCATGCAATCACCATTTGTTTTTCAAGTATGCAGTAATCTCACCATGATCTTCAGTAAATAAACTAAACTGCTAATTAAATAATGAAACATGATTACTCTCATAATAAAGATAATAATGTTTTTATCTAAAACATATCACAATTACAACTGAACAACTAAATAGCCAGTTAGACAATTAATTTATGTAAATGTTTGAACATGATAAACCTAAAAAACAATATTCAATAAATATTTGAGGCATCATAATATTTTGCAATCACCTACGACAGTCACTAAACAGTAAACTTACCTGAACTGATGACAATTTTATTTGGTGAACATAAAAAAAAACCTCCATGTTTATAAAAACTGCAACTCAATAAAACCATAGCATATCTATTAAAAAATACAAACACCATAATTTTAAACAATGAACCAAAAATCAACAATATAATTTTATTAAGCCTTGAGCAATCTCCAGTAATGTGACTTCTTAGTTTCATAATTTATATATATTCCTGTGTCTGGGTAAACAACATGTACCTTATGATAACAAAACCTTCCACAAACATTATGTATTTGTAGTGAGTTAAACTTTTAATAAACTTTTCTTTGTTATCCATTCTATCCTTCTCTAAACTGTTAAGCTTACCTACATTATCTGAAGTTATCTGATGTCTTCTCATTGAAGAAACTTTCTGTAGTTTTCAAACAGATATATATATATATATATATATACAATTTAACCCTATCATTGTGCAATTAATTTCCTGGCTAATTCCCAAAAAGTGTCAATTATCCACCAAAAAATAAAATTATGAATTTGACCTTTTGTATTACTTTTTCAATACTGAAAGAAGCTGTAATTTCTATATCTGATGGTAATATTCCTTGAAAACCATATTGGATAGTGAAAAATAATGACTTAAACAAAAAATCAGGAGAAAAGTGTTCTCCAGTAAATGGCATAACTATAGGCAAAACAAAGTTAATAAGAGGCCAAAATCATTACAAAATATAAAACAAACCTGAATTTTGCAGTCAGTGGGTATAAAAGTTTATTCGAATATATCTGAATTACACAGCAAAAGGGTCAACACACAAATACTTTAACAATTCACAACAAAAGGAAAGTTTACAGAAACTGCAAAAAGAAAACCTCTTAAACCTGTGTATGTTATTATTTTCCTATATTGAAAAGATATTTCTGATAAGTACTTATCTCCTCTCACATGTAAAACTATTCTCATTCAGCTGCCTTCCATATGCAAAAATGTTTTGGCATGCCACAAGCCTTAAACTCCCATGTACACCATGATCAACGTGGTTCCACTGCATCTCATATGTAAATCATCATGTGGCAACCTTCCACCAACAGGAATACAACACACCCAGCTGACACAAGTGATTCCCTCTATTCGATTCTACCAAACTATCTCTTCAAGATTAGACTGAAAAGAAAAGCACTGATTTTCAGTAAGGAGGAAGGGTGAGAAGTGTGAGAGAGGTAAATACCTATTGGAAATATATTTTCAGAATAGGAAAATATTAACTTCCGATCTGGTACATTACTCCCCTCACATGTATAGCTATAATCTCACATTGAGTAGGCACATGATAGAAATAAGTATCCTTTGAAAGTGTCCAAAGAAAAACCATAAATTGTGATCCCGTTTCGAGAGGGACACACGTAGGAGAACGCCCCACCTCTGTACCAGATATACTATGCACCCAGTGTGGAAATAGGTGTCGAACATACCTGCGAGAAATGGGAGGAGCACAGCCCAAAAGGGAAAAAAAAACAAGGCAGGTTTGAATCCAAACCACAATATACCATAATCTCAATCCTGGTAAAGAAAAACTGTAGAAGAACCATCTATAGACAGAAATGTGGGGAAAGCTAAAATGGATGTGCTCCAAGGTGTACAGTGCTAGGGCATGACAAACCATACATGGCTGATTAACTCAAGTCCAAAAACAAGAAGCATTGGGATTACTACTTCAGAGCCATGATAAGAGGAGGGCCCAAACCATCTTTACCTAAAGTTGAGAAAAACAGAACTATATACATGTCAAACTGATCTATTAAATTGGGAACATATGTACAAATCCACAACTACTCATACATCTGATAACCCGGCAGCTGAAATGATGATACGAAGGGATGTCTCAGTGTGGCGGTTCACATAAAAACAAGTCCAATCTGACTGGAACCCTTCAGTGCAACAGCAGCCTCAGGCTGGAGAAAAACTTCCAAGGTGGAGTGCAAGAGGGAGAACCTTCCCCCCATACATCATAATCTTCCGGATAGAACTGCACAGTAGTTGGTGTGCATGTGTGCCCAAAAGTAGCCTCCGGGACCCACTGCACAGATGTGGAGAAAATGAGGCAAAACTCTAAATTTGGAGTGAGAATGATGAATCACAATCAACACGCGAGGATTTATGTTGATTAGTCCAGCTTTAATCCTAAACCACTCACTGGGAACTGACATCCAGGTGACAGTAGGACGAAGAGTCCCAATCGAAGGGGTGAACTGAATTGTGACATACCTACTCCAAAGCAACATCCTCCTCCAGATCAGACCACACAAAAGCTATAGCACAACATCAACCTCCGGGTCCCAGTTTCTGAAGTGAATCACTTCTGTAAATATATGCAACTTCACCCTCCAGATAGAACTGCATAAAAGCTAGGTGCAACATCAACCTCTGGGACCCACCACACAGAGGTGGAGCACATGATTGGAGGACCACCCACCATCACCAAGTGATCACATTTGGGAGGATACCTCCATGGTCCAACATCCCAATGGCTTGGAACTGGAAAATGGCAAGGACTTTCATACACCACTAAAGGAACAAGAGGGACTAAAAAGTGGTGGAGAGTCCGGAGTAACACCAACACCAGAGACAATGCAACAGGTGACCACAAAAACCCTATATTCAAAAGCAGACCACCCCTGATTTATTCAATCAAAGTGATGGCAGCTATCCCCTTCTGACTAGCCCACGTAATTTCTTGGGTTAGTACGGTCCATAACGGGTATATTAATGAAGCAAACATATCACAAGGAAAAACCTACTATCAATCTTGTGGAACACTCCATCTCAACAGTGTGCATTATTGGCCATGGGTATATTGTTTTTATTATTTCATCCTGGCCATACAGATTTGAGATGTAGAAAGCATACCTGAACAGGCAACATTTGCCATGGAGCAGGATCCAAATTCTAAATGGGACCTGC